TACAGCCTTACTACATGGGTAAATATCCTTAGACATAAGACAGGACGGTGGGAATTAGGTGTTCCACAGATACATATATATTCCCCTGTTGTTGTTAGTTGTGAAGTTGTGTCTGACCCATTGCGACCCCATGGACCACATTTCTCCAGGCCTTTCTGTCCTCTACCATTCTCTGGAGTCCATTTAAGCTCACACCAATTGCTCCAGTGACTCCATCCAGCCACCTCGTTCTCTGCCGTCCCCTTCTTCTTTTGCCCTCCATCATTCCCAGAATTAGGCTCTTCTCCAGGAAGTCTTTCCTTCTCATTAGGTGGCCAAAATATTTGAGTTTCCTCTTCAGGATCTGGCCTTCTAAAGAGCAGTCAGGGTTGATCTCCTCTAGGACTGACCGGTTGGATTGCTTTGAAGTCCAAGGGACTCGCAGAAGTCTTCTCCAGCACCAGAGTTCAAAGGCCTCCATTCTTTGGCCTTCTCAGCCTTTCTTATGGTCCAACTTTCACAGCCATCCATTGCAATATGGGAAAACCATAATCATATTCCCCAGAATCCACGCCAAATTTGATCTCATTCTTGTTTCCATTGTTGGCGCATTCACATATAAATTGAATAAATAAATAATTTACAAGACGTCTCTGCAGATACGAATAAAGGGACAAAGCAAAAACTGAGACCGATCTTGACCTTTGTAAGGGACTGTCTCCCATGTGGTGGCAACCATGTCCAACGAATCAGAAAGGAATATGCTTTTAGGAAAATCTCTCTTTCTTTTCTTTTAAATTCTTGAATCTTGGCTATGTTCCCTGACTGGAAAAGAAATGATGGATGGGTCTTTTCCGTACTTGATTGGTCCCCTCTGACTAATGGTTGAGCTTCATCTGTGATGGATGGAGGTGCCAATATTACTTACTTAAGGCTAACTTATTATCTAAGCAGGTCACTGTTGTAAGAGATAAGATGGGTGTTGGGAGGAGAGAGAGCTGGTCTCCAGCTTCATGGCAGCAATTAGTAATCCTTCTCTTATTAGCATTTTTGTTACAGTCAGCAGCTCCTGCGACATTATTTTTTTAATGGCCACCAAGCAAATATCCATGTTGACTCTCAGCGTACCATCTGTCATACCCCTCAGAGGGATACAGAGGGGGTTGATGACTATCGGAACAAATTATAATGGGAAGCTATCGATTCTCTAGAGGAGCTGCGATGATGTTGAAACCTTGAGCATGCCAATGTTGGAAATGTTCTCTGAATTGCAAGGCTGCCCAAAGAAGGTGGCCTATTCTCTATGTAAAAAATACGACATACCTGTATCTGAAAAGTCATGGGAGCACAAAGTGGAAAAAGTTACCGAAAATGAGACAGTGCACATCTTGTGGGATTTTTGAATACAGACGGATTGTCATTTGGAACACAACACGCCAGATATCACGGTGCAGTTTATTGACATCGCTGTGCCAGGAGACGCTAGAGTCGAAGAAAAAGAACTAGAAAAAAAAAATCATGAAATATCGTGACCTGGCCATCAAAATTACACGGCTATGGATTTTATTTATTTATTTATTTATTTATTTATTTATTTATTTATTTATTTATTTATTTATTTATTTATTTATTTATTTATTCATTCATTCATTCATTCATTCATTCATTCATCCATCCATCCATCCATCCATCCATCCATCCATCCATTTATTTATTTATTTATTTATTTATTTATTTATTTATTTATTTATTTATTTATTTATTTATTTATTTATTTATTTATTTATTTATTTATTGGTTCGATTTATATGCCGCCCTTCTCCAGAGACTCAGGCTGGCTTACAATGCGTTAAGCAATAGCCTTCATACTTTTGTATATACCTGCTTAGTAGGGCTTTCGCCCCCACCCCCCCAAGCGTTGTTCTTTTTTTATACAAAGTCAGCTTATTGCCCCCACAATCCGGGTCCTCATTTTACCTACCTTGAAAGGATGGAAAGCTGAGTCAACCTTGAGCCTGGTGAGATTTGAACTTGCAGTAATTGCAGGCAGCTGGTGCTATTTAACAGCACTTTAGTCTGCTGCGCCACCAAGGCTCTTTCCGATGAAACATGTAACAGTGATACCCATTGTCCTCGGGGCACTTGGTACCAGGTCCAAGAATTTTACAAAACACATCAAGAAATTGCAGCTTCCTGCAATAACACCAGCGGAACTGCAAAAAAACTGCGCTACTCAGAACATCATATATTTTAAGAAGATACTTGGTTGATACCTAGGACGCTGGCAGCAATCCGTATCAACCATTAGCACCAGTCAATGGTATTTCTAACACATTTTTAAATGATCAGTTGACTTGAGTTTCATGTTTAATGAATAAAAGAGATAATAATAATGATGATGATGATGTATTATTTCCATTGCTTATTAGCTGACTATTTTAGTACCTATATCTTTATAACTTTCATACATAGTTCAGCTGCTTACTAATATAGATTTTCTTTGCCATTCCAATTCATCTTGTATTTAGATTCTCTGTTTGTGTATTCTATCGGGTTTCTCTATTCTTTTAGAAGCGCTCATTTCTTCTGCTTATGGGCACTGTAAGTTCTCACTGAAAAGCGTATGATCTAATAAAAAGTCATTTGTTTGCTTTAAATTAAGCCATTTTCTTTCTTTTTCTTTTCTTTTTTTTTAAAAAAGGTTGATTTCTAAAGAAATATTTATAATGGACAGGAAAACAGGGGGAAAAAAACAACTTTTGTTGGAATTGCACGTAGTGGACACTCTCAGAGACTAAAATTCCAGGTGTTAGACTGACTTTGTTTCAGAAGCCAAAATGATCTGAAAGAAAGAATCTAGATATACAGTCAATGGGACCTTTTATATTTTCCTAGGTGTTTTTCTTCTTTATTTTATGCTGGGTTAAAAGTCTGTCTTTCTCTGTACGTGCCTATGTGTTCCTTGTCTATGTATTCTGACGTTGATTATGCAAAATGCAGCATATGATTTGTAAAAGCTGCTATTCGATTTCTAACGTTAAGAACATTCCCTTCCACGTTAGATTTTTACGTGGTTTGACTAGATGAATAGATCAGCTCAGCATGTTCCTTATCCTACCTGGGCTTCAACTAGAACATTTGTACTCATTGTGAAAGGAACACTAGGCGCTGGAAAGAAGTGATGGTTTTTTCCCCAGATGCAAACGTTTGTAGCTTCCAACCAATTCTACATAGCTCTAAATAGACACTGCAAACCTTCCTTCCTTCCTTCCTTCCTTCCTTCCTTCCTTCCTTCCTTCCCTTCTCTCACCTTTCTTCCTTCCTTCCTTCCATCCTTCCCTCCCTCCCTCCCTCCCTCAATCCATCCTTCCCTCCTTCCGTTTCTCTCATCTTCCTTTCTCCTTTCCTCCCTCCCTCCTTCCCTTCTCTCAACTTCCTTCCTTCCCTCCTCTCATCCTCCCTCCCTCCCTTCCCTCCTTCCCTTCTCTCATCTTCCTTCCTTCCCACCCTCTCTCCCTCCTTCCCTTCTCTCAACTTCCTTCCTTCGTTCCCTCCTCTCATCCTCCCTCCCTCCCTACTTCCTCCCTTCCTTCCTCCTTCCCTCCCCTAATTTTATTTACACTTCCTGCTTCTTTTTTTCAGAGCCTTCCTTCCTATTTCTTTGTTCAGTTGCTTTGCTCGGAGCTTCTGCTGTACACGATGGAGGGAAACGTTGGACAGATTTATTTGAAGGTTCATATCCCTGAAATCATTGCAGGGATAAAGTGATGGGCTTGGAGCTTAACTGGTTGGCAGATCAAACTCACTTGAAAGCTTATCTGGATTCTGTCAGCAAAGGTGAATCTTCTAACTCCTTCTTTTCCCCCTATTCGTGTCCTCGGTCTCAAGATTTGAAGAGATAAGCTGCACTGCAATGCATACAGAAGAGTGATGGAGATGGTTGTGTGTCTAGGACTGTGCCAGAAAATAGATACAGATCTTCTGCTTCTAAAGATGGACCGCTCACTGTCCTCTCAAGCAAAGATGGCTGAGCCATAATACCCTAAATTCTATTGCAATGGCTGCTGAAATCCTCCAATCCAAAGCTTACCGTTGGCCATTCCAAAATGCGGAATGGACATTTCAGTGAACAGGTCTGTCTCTGCCTGATCGTAAGACCGGAAGAGACTTCTGCATGTAATGTGATTTTTGAACAAATGGCCATTGGAACGTGTAACCTTTAGCTAATGTCTTCATGCCACTTTCAATGCATGGGCCTTTGAAACATGAACAATCTCTCGGTGATGGAGTACCGAAAACAATTAAGCATAACTTGTCAAAATTAATAGGAGAGCTGGTGCCTTTGTTGCAGCTCATAAGAGCAATTAGAAGCAAGTAATTTTGCTAAGTAGATTTGGGGTTTATGTGGAAGTCTGGCCACACTAAATAACTTAGACTTTAAGCATACAGCATATGTTTAAGCATATACTTACTATCTATCTATCTATCTATCTATCTATCTATCTATCTATCTATCTATCTATCTATCTATCTATCGTTGTTGTTAGTTGCAAATTTGTGTCTGACCCATTGCAACCCCATGGACAATGTTCCTCCAGGCCTTCCTGTCCTCTACCATCCCCAGGAGTCTATTTAAGCTCACGCCAACTGCTTCAGTGACTCCATCCAGCCACCTCATTCTCTGTCGTCCCCTTCTTCTTTTGCCCTCCATCATTCCCAGCATTAGGCTCTTCTCCAATGAGTCCTTCCTTCTCATTAGGTGGCCAAAGTATTTGAGTTTCCTCTTCAGGATCTGGCCTTCTAAAGAGCAGTCAGGGTTGATCTCCTCTAGGACCGACCGGTTTGATCGCCTTGCGGTCCAAGGGACTCACAGGAATCTTCTCCAGCACCAGAGTTCAAAGGCCTCCATTCTTTGGCCTTCTCAGCCCCCCACAATCTGGGTCCTCATTTTAGCTACCTCAAAAGGATGGAAGGCTTATTACGCCTTCATTTAACGTTGTGTTTTATATTTTATATTTTAGGCTGTCTGGTAAGCCTTTATTTTCATCGTGATGCTTCTGACACGGAAAAAAAAAAGAAAGAAAAGAAAAGAAAGATTTCACAAGTGAGAGAAGCTATCAAGAGCCCACTTCTTCTTGAATTTTGCTTTGAAGAAGAATAATGTCAACGCAACCTCTTCTCATCAAAGGGCAAAAACATTGCTGACAAAGCAGGGACAAGTCACACAATGCTACAAAATGTGTTTGAGTCACCGGGCAACCCCACGCCAACATTTTCCAGCCGCCCTTTAAGACTGCCTGAAACATAAAGCAAGTTCATAACGTGAAGCCTAGCATTTAAAATCTAATTTGCCACTACCCAATTACTCTCCGCAGAGGCTCAGCAACGTGGTGCGTAGGATTCACAGTTTGCTCACATTTTGCCCCGGCTGCTGATTCAATCTTCTTCTTTTGCTCCAGTAGTCACTCCGATGTCTTGCTGGGATGAAACGAAATTCGCATTTAGCTCTTCGGTCATGAACCACCCCCCATTGAAAAATCGCAGTGCCGAATGCATATTCATGGCCCGTGCCATACATATTGAAAGATATCTGGAGAAAGTAGCTTGGCGCAGAAATCTGAAGTCTTGTGTTTTCCACGCCAGTCACATTTTGTATAAGGGGGTGGGGGGTGGGGGGGGTGTCACAGTTTCTCTTTCCCTCCTCTAAGTATCCCTTTGATGATCCAAAGGCTTGTTTTCTAAGATCACATATGTGGGTGTTGGTGCAGGAAGAGAGGGACGCTATAATTCTTTCCGAAGTCGTTCTAATGGCAAGTAAAGAGAACTCATTTGTCCAAATATATTTACACATCATTGTATGAATTGGGTATTGGTAACCAAGAAGTGCAAAATCTCAATTTCAAATGCTACCCAGTATTATATTTATATCTCTATCTCTCTATCTATCATCTCTCTCTCTATCTATCTATCTCTCTATCTATCTATCTCTCTATCTATCTATCTAACTATCTATCTATCATCGATCTATCTGATCTATTTTTATTTTTATATTTCTCTCTCTCTCTCTCTCTCTCTCTCTCTCCTCTCTCTCTATCTCTCATCTATCTCTCATCTATCTCTCATCTATCATTCTATTTATCTATGGTCTATGGTCTATGGTTTATCTATCATCTATCATCTATCATCTATCATCTGTCTATCTATCTATCTATCGTCTAACCTGCAGATGGATTAGAGAACAAACTAAAGTGTACAATATGATCAAAAGACTAAAAGAATAGAAATGGCAATGGGTTGGTCGCATAGCAAGAAGAACTGATGGCAGGTGGATCGAAGCGGTCCTAGAATGGATCCTGCTTGATCAAAAGTGTCCATGAAAGAGATCTAAAACAAGATGATGGATGACATCAGCAAGTATGGTGGGCCCAAGTGGTGAGATAGATAGATAGATAGATAGATAGATAGATAGATAGATAGATAGATAGATAGATAGGTAGATAGATAGGTAGATAGATAGACAGACAGACAGACAGACTAGATAGATAGATAGATAGATAGATAGATAGATAGATAGATAGATAGATAGATAGATAGATAGATGACAGAGAGAGAGAGAGATGTATATATAGAGAAGTGCCTCTTGAAAAAGCACTTTTGAATGATGAGAATAATGATGTTTAATGTTAATATGGTATCATTAGTAGACGACCTGAGTCTTCGGAGAGGGCCGGCATATAAATTGAATTAATTAAATTAAATTAAATTGAATTAAAGATATTAAGAAGAAAATGAAGAGCTTTACAATGTTTAATTGTTTAATATATTATAACTTTAAGTTTAGAGAAATAAGGTGAAGATGAAGGTGAATGATATTGCAAATGGTGAAAAATGTTGCCCAGAGATGTTTGTACCTAGATGGCATACTGCTTAAGGAAAGATGGAATGTTTATATTATTGAAACTGAAAAAATAAAAAAAAACCTTCTTATATATATAAAAAAAAGAAAAAGCACTTTTGGGACAGGAGATTGGAAGGTTGAAAGATTCTGTTTTCTCTTGGAGAACCCAAGAGATCTTTTTTTCTTTCTTTTTCTTTTATTTTAACAAATAGAACATTGTTCCCACAAATAAAATTTACTGTTGGAAATTTTGGATAAGAAGGACCATCCGATGGTTGATTGATGTCAGTTCCTTTGCAATGGGAATGTCTTGAGCAGTATATCACCATGCAATCTGTTTCTTGTTTCTCTTCTCTGCCTACTGAAAGAAACAACCTTCCCACACGACAAACATCACAAAATTCCAAGATGCTTTTTCCCCCTCTAGGCTGCATAGAAATAACGTCTCTTGCAATTTCTATTCTTTTATCCAAAGCATGGAACTTATGTTAGCAAATCTGGCCCCAGCTTTGGCCATTTGCAATTTTCTTAGATTTTTCCAAAACAATGAAATGTCGGGGCAATTAGAGGTTGTCTGTCAGGGTGAGATATCAACTTTTTATCAACTATCTTTAATTTTTACGCTTTATGCATATCACGAGTCCTACTGCACCAGAAAGGGGGGAAAATATATCTCCAGATAACATTAAAAAACAAACAAACAATTAATTAATAATTATATCAGTGGCATCAAGCAATTAATTCACACCCCTGTTCTTGGCTCGAGAAACTGAAAAGGGATTTCAAAACCAAACTTCCCATATGATTTTGTGCAATCTACAAATTGCCAGAGAACTCCTTAAACTTGAATGAAAAATTCTGCTCACTTTGAGCGAGGACAGAGGAATAAAGGGGGAGAGAAAAGAGATGGAAAATATTTGGCAATGTTTGCTTTGAAATCATTGAAGAATCACGTTTCGTGATTGATTTTCATTTGATGTATAAAACAGTCACAAAATGTATAACTCGAACAATAAAAAAAGGATAGAGCAAAACATTGAAGTGTTCCAAAGCTTGTAAATCAAAGGTTGGATGCAAATCTTCGCCTTAATCTGAAATGAGCAGAGCACTTAAAAGTTTGGGTTTCATCCCAACCCCCGCCCCCCCAAAAATTTTAACCTTAGACTGTCTACTGTTGACCTCACCCCATTCCTAAGAGGTCTGTAAGGGACGTGCATAAGAGCACCAGCGTGCCTTCCATCCATGTCCTAATGTTTCCTCTATTTGTATCTATTTTATGTATTCAATTCATGCTTATATATATTATCTAATATGTAATCGACAAATAAATAAATAAAATGAAAGAGCGAAGACCTCACCTGGAAAAACAATACGATCCAGGCGGCCAGGAAGGCCCACTTCCTTAGGGTCTTGTGTAAAAACAGGGTGGAACAACAATTGATGACCTCCTTTTACCGGTCCACAATAGAAAACATCCTCACTTGTTGCATCACAGTATGGCATGTCGGTCTGACAGCCGCGGATAGGAAAAAACATTACAGAGGCTGGTGAGCACGGCACAAAACATTGTGGGCTGTCTCCTGATACAACTAGATGAGATCTCTAGGGCTCGCTGCCTTAGAAGAGTGAGGGAAATCCTCAGGGACGACTCCCACCCTGGTCATCATTTCTTTACCCTCCTACCATCGGGATGGAGATATAGAAGTAGAGCCAGCCGCACAAACAGACTGAAGAAGAGTTTTTATCCGTGGGCTGTCAGACTTCTGAATGAGAAATAACATCATCACTATGTAGTATGATGGACTGCACGGCCGGTGCAATTTGCAACATGTTCACACCGGTGCAATAGAACTGGGTGTTTTGTTGATATGATTTATTGGTTAGGGATTTTCTGTCTTCACTGTGAGTTTTATTGTGTTGGAGAGGAGGGGTGCACTGAGGGAGCTCAACCAACATCTCATTGTACATATGTTGTGCACTGACAATAAATATTTGAATTGAATTGAATTGAATTGAAAAGTTAGTTCAGAAGAAACTTGCCTTGCTTTCTGGTGCAGCCAACCAGCTAGCCAAGTCATCCATCGTTACCCATCAGAGTTTAGGATATCTGAACGCACACCGTTCCCATCTGCAAATGCCACTAACAAGTAGCTACTTCATTCACAGCCAGAGTACAAAATAATGCATAAACTCAGCTGCTTTTGGTGCAGAGCAGAGGTAGCATATCATTCATAATCTCTCAAGTATGAATTGTGATGGAAAGATTCGAGCCCAAAAAAAAATAAAAATAGAATAGAATAGTAGGGAATATGTCAGCCAGTTCCAATTAGATCAGAACATCTGATTTTTAATCTAGGCATCCACATCGGTTTGAACCTCTGAATCTGAGGATTTTACAGATTAACAGAGGTCGAAGGGACCTTGTAGGTCATCTAGTCCAACCCCCCACCCAGGCAGGAGACCCTACACCATTTCTGACCGATGGCAGTCCAGTCTCTTCTCGAAAGCCTCCAGTGATGAAGCTCCCACAACTTCCGAAGGCAATTTCTCTTCCATGGGTTGATTATTCTCGCCATCAGAGATTGGATTGAGTTTAATATGGATCATTAAAATATATGGACGGTGTTGTGAATTTAAAAAGAAAGTTTTTGAATGAATTCGACACTCCAAAAGTGTCCAAAAGGTTTAGTGATTCATAGCACTGAATATTCATAAAGACGTATTGAATTGTTCAATGCAACCAAAGAATGGAGCTGATATGATCTTTCTACACTCAGCAATAGCAGACACATGAGTGATTTGAATAAATGGGGGGAAAAAAAAAACAGGTGATTTGCTAAAACATTTCACGGTCCTATCCATCCATAAAAACCTTTGCAAGTTTGATTAGGTTATTAAAAAGACTTCCACCCCACCCCAACCTCCCATCTTCCTTCTGGCTTCTGTGTGCTTCAGTCGATCTTAATATATTTTAATCAAGAAGAACTGTATGCCAACTTGGTAGCATATAATAAAACAAGCCAGTGTGATTTGCTAATAAGCACCACACAGAGCAAGGGACAAACATGAATTATGCTGTCCAAAATAAACAAATGCTTTAATTGGAATATTTTTTTGCTTCATACTTCAAGGCTTGTGGAAAGCTGCTCTCAAAAAACCAAGAGGCGTTTTGAGGAAGAGTGGGAAAACGCCACTGTTTTGAGACTGAACTCCTCCAATGTTTTTATCTGTTGGGAATTTGTTTTGCAAGTTAGAAAATAAACCCTGCACAGAATAGGAGGGGGGAGGAGGAGGAGGAGGAGGAGGAGGAGGAGGAGGAGGAGGAGGAGAAGAAGAAGAAGAAGAAGAAGAAGAAGAAGAAGAAGAAGAAGAAGAGAAGAAGAAGAAGAAGAAGAAGAAGAAGAAGAAGAAGAAGAAGAAGAAGAAGAAGAAGAAGAATAATTTTGAATAATAGAAATTCACAGTCTATTGTAGGTTGGCACTGGAATTGACTAGATATTGTATCTGGAACTGGTGAATATGAAGGGAAAAGAGGAGCCTACAACAACCATTGAATGGCTAGTGTATAGAACCATGATGGTGAACCTATGACACGCGTGCCACAGATGGCACACATAGCCATATCAGTGGGCACATGAGCTCAGCTCTGGCGCACATGCGTGCGCTGGCCAGCTGATTTTCAGGCCTTCTGGGCCCACCAGGAGTTGGCAAACGGGCCATTTCTGGCCTCCGGAGGGTC